TAGCTACTTATCTAAGTCTTTTTAAAGGCATTGTAATTCAAGTCCCTTATGATAGTCAATTTACATACTCCTTGTTTGAGAACAGCTATTCACTTAATAAATCTTAACTATCATGGATCCAATTTTTTTTAACTTCTGAGATGAACCTCTGTAGAAATTGGATAATTTGGTGAGCATACTTAATTTATAGAGTAAATTTGTGTTAGATGCTGAAGGTACATTTTTCTTTATCTAACTAATGCTATATTCTTGCACCTGAACACACCCTAATATTTCAGGTAACAAAAGAATACAGGAATAAATATGATAGAAGAATGAGTGGAAATTAAAATCATAGGGTAGAAGTGGGAAGACTGCTGTTACAATGTGGGTGTTTGGTTAGGTAACATCTTAACAACTCCAACTCACAGCCACTTATGCACAGATTGGCGTTTTTCCAATTCTGTGCCATCCTCATAATTTTTGTTGTGCATAAACCCATTGTTATAGTCACTGTACCAATCCTTCTTCTTGAGAATCTTCTTCTCCTTTGCTGACTCTCATCTTTTCCAAATATGATGTCTTTTCCAAGGACTAGACCCTCCTGAAAACATGACCAAAAATTGTGATGTTAAATCTCACAACTATTATTTTTAAGGATCATTATAGTCAATATTCTTTGGCAGCATCACAATTCAAAGACATCATTTCCTCTTTGGTCTTTCTTACTCATTGTTCAGCTTTCAAATGCATGATGTTGCTCTTGTGTACCACAGAGTCGGAACCGACCCATAGCTGACTCTCCAGCGGGTTTTCAGCAGCAGTAATTGCATAGGAGGAGGAGATTGCCCATCGTTCTCCCACGAAGCAGCTGGTCGCCTTGAACTGCCTGCCTTTGTGATTGCAGTACAGCTTCTTGCCACTAGGCCACCAGTGATCTCAAATGCATAGTAAGCAATTGACCATGTCATGGTTTGGGACAGGTACACTTTAGTCTTTAAATGACATACTTTTAGGGAGTTCTGGATGTTGATTGTGCAACCAAGTTAAATGAAAGAGTTGACTGTAATGATCATGATACTGTCTATTGATCTACTTATGAGCATTTTTGTTTTCTTTACATTGAGATGTAATCCATACTGAAGGCTTTCATTGTTCTTCACTTCGAAAGTTCTCTTTATATTCAGTAAGGAAAGTTGTGTCACCTGCATAACACAAGTTGTTGATAAGCCTTCCTCCAGCCCTGATGGAAGGCTACATTCTTCTTTATATGGCCTATCTTCTTAGATTATCTGTCTACTTTATAGATGTAATCAGTTCTATAAATAGACTGAAGAAGAATATTTATGAAAAAAATTACTTTTATAGGCAAATTAATTTCAATATTCAAGAATAATGAAGTTTAGTTAAATTTGTTATGTGTGTGCATTTACTCTTTATTGGTGATTACCTCTGAAAAATCAGTCACGAAGCATTCGATAACGCAGTTGTACTCTGACAGAAATGAGGTGACTCTGAGTTGGAAGCAATTTGAGAGCAACTGGTAAGTGTAAAGATATTGAAAATGACCCCAAAATAGATAGAGAAGGCAAGAGTATGCAAAACTCCGTGTGGTCTAAAATTTGTTTTTTAAAACTTTGGAATATTATACATAACAATAATAAAATAACTAAATAAAGACCACAGTAGCCTCTACCCCACTCCTCACCTCTAATTATTCCTCTGGGTTGAGATTACAAGTGATTTTTCCAACTCAGTTACACTACTTTTCTATATAGCTTCTAGGTTTTCTGCACTGAGGATATATTTCTTTCATAATTAGACAAAACAAAATTTTGTGAACGTGTTCAACATTACAATTTGAGAAAATGCATTAAATGTTGACTTTATTTTCTTTTTATACTCTGAAGTCTGAGACATAGACTACCATAATAAAAATTCATTTATTTTCTTCTAAATTCCTCTGGGCTTCTATTTGAGAGGGATCAATAGCCTAGGGACATATTGCTGACAAATCCCCAAGGAAACTAAAAACCCTATATAAGGATTTGTCAACCAAGATCTTGAAGGATTCACAGCCATGAATAGAGATTTACTGGTGCAGAACACTGGCGTGAGTTTGGGAAGCTATTTAAAAAAAAAATCTACTTTGGGAGAATGAAAATTGTTCAAGAAAAGTATAATAGCTTGAAACATAGGGATAATTAGCAAAAGGTACTGTTAGCAAATGGGATTGTTTTTTCCCTTTCACTTCTTTAGATATTGATTCTTCTTTCATACGGTTATCATTGCACCTAGTCCCGTAGTCCATTGTCCACTCACTTCATCAGGATATACAAATAAAAGCCTGGAGACAAAAGTAATTTTGGCCTTAAAACTTCTCTGGCAAAGGACTATTAAATGATTTTCATTTCTATAACTGGAATTTCTGGAGAGGGATTGTGAGACCTCTATGTAGGAAAGGAATCATTTACTTGAGATCCATCTGTTTAGGAGCCAGAGGTCATCAAACTCTAAAATTTAAAGTTCCCTTGTATTTTCTTCTGTCCATAGAAGTTACTGTATGTTTTGGAAATTAGAATCAGTTGCAGCTTAAGAGATATTTCCAGAATGTTTACATTGCAAGAATGCATGCCACATGGTTTTACAATCATATAATCCATGAAAACACAAAGCAAGTGTCTACTGAGGGTTGCTGGGTGATAGGAGTGGTTAGCATTGACTCTGTGCTGCTTGGCTTTATTCTAGATCTTAAAGACCGGTTTCTTATTAATCGTTTATTGTACTAAATGGATAGATAACATTTCTCATTACAACAATTTTTACATGTACAATTAAATGACATAAAAAATGTTCACCACGTCATTAAGTAACAGACATACTTTAAATACCAGGAGCCTTCTCTTTTCCTCACAAAATATGTCTTCTTACTAACATTACATGGGTGAGTAGAGGAATACTCTATTTTAACCAGTCCTGATTAGTAATTTAATTTTTCCCTTCTAGCAGCAGCCAAAAATCATCATTTTTATGTTGCCTTAAAGCTACATCAAAACTTTGTATTATTACATGTAAAATTTACCAAACATATAACTTGCTCACTATCATACATTGCAAACTATATGGAATAAATATGTTTGAATTAATAAAATTTTAAGAGGACAACAGCTCTATTTGTTTGATATGTTTGCTATTCTTAATGTAAATTCCTTAAAATACAATTAAATTCTTATTATTGCCTCAACAAGAGGCATGTAAAAATATGGTAATATCTATTGCACTGAATACCTGTATAAGTATAATAAAATAACATTGTAAATAGAAAGTCAGTATTCTCACAAGAACTTTCTGGCAATAATTGCAGTATTGAAGATGGACCATGGCTGATAGTTGATGCCAAAATGTCTCTAAATCATGGGGAATCTCTAGTATAACCAAGAATGCTCAGCCCTTGTAGCATCTTCTTGTTTGGGTCAATTGAAAATTGATAGAGAACTTTTAAAAAGAACATGTAAAGTATATATATTCTCCTTCCATGCCAGAGGGCTCTCCCATAAATATGCTCTGTCAGATTCCCAGTCAAGCCATGAAGTACCCATGCTTGGTACCTTTCTTGTATTTATTGGAGCTGGAGGTAGTGGAGCAGCACCGCATGTCATGTGTTTGGCATTATTTAGTTCAGATATCAGCCTGGATAGAAAGAATAACTCACAGCCCCGCAACACACTAGGTCCCAATAATCCATACAAGATCTACTCAGTGATTGTGGATTACAGCAAACTGACAAAAGAGGGTCCTGAATTCTATATTAAATGCTTCTCCATAAAGCTGCTTAGAAAGAAGGTATTCTAGACACCATTCACATAATTTCTCACTTAACCAGGATATGTTTTTCCCTAAACTCACAAAAAGTCATGCCAGTATTTCATGTTGGAATTGACACTGAACAGTAAATACCTAAAACTTGGGGGGGGGGGGATTCAAATAAAGAAATCAGAAATAAAAAAAATATATATACTATCTGGTTGAATTTAAAATTTTTAATAAAATAATCACTAGAATTTCATAAATCTTACTACTGATGCACAAATATAAATAATCAGGTTTTCCCTCCCTACCCTTTGCAAGAACTTTCCGAGCAATTTCACACAGAAGGGAAAACATGATATTTACAACATTTAAACAGAGTTTGTGCACAGAATATACTTAGTATTTCCTCCACCAAGCATCCATTATTCTCATTTTAAACGAAAAGTCTTGACTATATGATCTTGAGTTACTTTGATTGGTTGGTATGTGCCTTAGAGTTGGAACAGACCAACAGCTGACCCTCCAGAGGGTTTTCAGAGGCAGTAAATCAAAGGGAAGGAGATTGCTCAGCTTTCTCCACTGGTGGAGAAGCAGCTGGTGGATTTGAACACTGTCCCTTTGGGATTGCAGGGCAGCTGCGTACCACTAAGACTGTATTAAGATATTATTGCCAAAGTTAATATGAAATATGAGCTTTTTTCATAATCTTTAAAGCATGTCAAATTGTTAATGTTTGAACTGCTAATAAAAATGGCAGCTAGACTGCTGGTAAGAACTGGTCATATTTAGGTAATATTCTAATCAAACTTCATTATTTTAGTGATGGAATTCATGTACAAGCAGTCTAGGAAAAATCAGAGAGGTAAGACTAGGAATGGCTTATTTGAATGAAGAAGATAATTGCATCCCTAGCCACGTCTTGTTATTGGAATACTGTGAAAATAGGAGGAATTTTGGAAAAAGGCATGGAAAGTGTGGACAGTTTCAAAGACAGTAGGAACTGGGACGATGAGCACTGTTGTGCAAAACTGTACAACTTTAGTTTAGTGTAGACATTATAACTCAGAGATTTTTTTTTGCTGGAATTGGAAAAAAATATGATGAAAGTTTGTAGTATTCATTAGCCTTATTGTATAAATTTTTCTCTCTCTGCCTTTTATACAGCAATCATTTGCTGTTGAAGATTGTAAAATGCCTTTTTATCAGTCATTATGTCTGGAGCCAACAGCTCCAGTCTGACCCCAGGATTCTTCATCTTGAATGGCATTCCTGGGCTAGAAGCTGCACACATCTGGATCTCCCTGCCATTCTGCTTCATGTACATCGTCGCTGTCATAGGGAACGGTGGGCTCATCTACCTCATTGGCCATGAAGAAGCTCTGCATCGGCCCATGTACTACTTCCTGGCTCTGCTCTCATTCACTGATGTCACTTCATGCACTACCACTGTACCAAATATGCTATGTATATTCTGGTTTAACCTCAAGAAGATTGGTTTTAGTGCTTGCTTGTTCCAGATGTTTTTTATACACACACTGACGGCAATGGAGTCTGGGGTGCTTATGCTCATGGCCCTGGACCGCTATGTGGCCATCTGTTATCCCTTACGCTATGCCACCATCCTCACCAACCCTGTCATAGCGAAGGCTGGTCTTGCCACCTTCCTGAGGAGTGTGACGCTCATCCTGCCTTTCACCTTCCTCACCAAACGCCTGCACTATTGCCAGGACAATCTTATTCCTCACACCTACTGTGACCACATGTCTGTGGCCAAGGTGTCCTGTGACAATGTCAAGGTTAATGCTATTTATGGTCTCTTGGCAGCTCTCCTAATTGGGGGCTTTGATATGTTTTGTATCTCAGTGTCTTACATAATGATCTTGAAGGCAGTCGTGAGTTTGTCATCTGCAGATGCTCGCCACAAGGCCTTCAGCACGTGTACTTCCCACATATGTGCTATAGTCATCACATACGTTCCGGCCTTATTCACTATTTTTACTCACCGTTTTGGGGGACAAAACATTCCTCACCACGTGCATATCATTATTGCTAATCTCTATTTGATGTTACCTCCTACTCTCAACCCCATAGTTTATGGAGTCAAGACCAAACAGATCCGGGAAGGAGTTGTCAAAATGTTTTTTAGGGAGAAAGAGAACTTAGTTATGAAATAGATTTGCAGATAAATATAAAAATACAAAGCAACCCAAAGATGCTTTAGAAGACTCTCTCTAGTGTATATAATTAAAATGATTAATTGAACATTTGATATGCTATTACCTGAAGGGTTTTTTTGTGGTACTTTATCAGTGATAGAGGGAGCTCTGATAGCGTAGCTCATGGGGAGTGGTGCTAACCCAATAGTGGTGTCTCTTTAGTGGATCAAATTCTCCTGTGGTTCCAGGGTAGAAAGATGGGTCGTCTGCTCCCATTGTCACTTATGGACTCAGAAAACCCACTGGAGGGGCAGCTCTGAGTTGATTCTGACTCAGTAACAAAGTGTGTTTGTGTGTGTGTATACATATTATAGAAAGACTTAAATAAGAAACGTGACTCAAAACAACTATGAGATATCATCTCACCCCAGTAAGTATAGCAAAATTCAACAAAGCTGCAAACAAGAAATGCTGACGAAGTTGTGGAGAAACTGGGACCCTTATTCACCATTGGTGGGAGTGTAAAATGGTGTAAAATAGTGTAGGCACTATGGAAGGCTGTATGGTGCTTTCTCAAAAAGTTGGAAATAGAAATACCATATGACTCAGCAATTCCACTATGGTGAATATACCCTAAAGAAACCAGAACTGCCACCCAAGCAGATTTATACACATTCATGTTTATTGTGACATTGTACATAATAGCAAAGAGATTGAAACAACCCAAATGCCCATCCACAAACAAATGGATAAAGAAGCTGTGGTATAGTCATATAATGGAATACTATACAGCACTGAAAAGCAATGAGCTCATGAAATAGTATACAAAATGGGTGACCGTGGAGGACATTATGCTGAGTGAAATATCTCAGTCACAATAGAAAAAATACTGCATAATGCCACTGTTATAAAACAGAACTGTCATCCGGGTTGGGGGGAAACTAATGAAAGAGGGGATAAATAATGTACACTGTGTTGAAACAGATGAGGAAAGGAATTGTTTAAAAGGACTATATGATTAGGTATTATTTGCATGACAACAGTCCAGAATAAGAGCTGCATAGCTAAGTGAACTGGGGTAGAAGTGGGGAATCGTACAACAATGAAAGATTTTTTTTTTCCAAACAAAAAATGAAAGGGGCAATGGTCAGGGAAGAAAATGCGTGAAAATGAATTCATGAAAATCCAAGTTCTCTACAAATTTTCATTAAAATATCAATTAAAAAAATAAAAA